TGGAACAGAACTTCTGCCAGATAAATGACCATAATCTCTGATTACTGTAACTTTTAGTAAAAGGGTCCCAGGGTCACTTGCCAGAGTTTATAAAACTTGATCTGGGTGTTTTGGTGATTTTTTTTCTTTCAGAGTTCTGAATGAACCAAGGTCATTAAAGAAGACCCTAATTTAAGCAAACCTAATTATTTTACGATCCAGTTCAACCCCTAGGGATTGAGAAATATGATATCCTAAGGTTTGATTATAACACATAGTTATCAGAGACTTTCACTGGTAGCTTCTACAAGATACAATACTTTTGAAAATTACCATGAGGAGCCCTTTCACCTTCTTAACTAGTGGCTGCATTGCTTTGTGCTGGTTAGAGACAAGCATTGTTTCCATAAATAGAATCTGCCCTGTTAGCCTTTTATTGGAAGAATTCTAAGGAAACTAGGATTTGCATATGCTGATAGGAAAAGAGGGATTATAGACATTCTCGAGCTTTACATCTTTCTTTAGAAAAACAGTTATCTTCATCCCTGTAAGATGACCTCATTTTACGTTGAACTAATTGAGGTTCTAAAAACAACACTGAAGATAATTTTCCTAAAGTACTAATAAAAAATTAGATGCATGTGGGTCTCTTGCCTATATTAATCTTATATGATCTTGGTCTAAGCTCTTCATGTATGCTGTTGGTGCAGACATTTAAATATGAGAGCATCTCTGGGATCAGTTTTGGCTTTGGAACAAGAGAGCCTCAGTATTGATGACTATCTCTTTCCACAAAGTTGCTTTAGAATCTTAGCAGTTAAAACACCTCATGGGAATGAGGTGGATTTAGTCATCTCAAACCAGAACATGCCTGCTGTGAGCGGGCAAGGTCAGAATTACTTTCAAAAGTAAGGAACAGTTCACTCTTCATTCTGCGATCAAACAAATTCTATATATATTTTGAAAATGAGCAATAAAGTAATTCTGCTGCACCTCAGTCTTTATGTATATGTGGCTACTTAAAGTGACTGTGTGGATCAGAAGCCACATGTGCAGGAGGAGGATTAAATTATACTGTCACCACTGATGACCATCTACTTCTGCTTCCTCTTCACCCCCATGTTGGCCAGCCCACAGCCTAATCCTCTCCTCCCTATCTCCAAATGAGTCTGTGAGCTGGAATTAGAGGACTAACCCGGTCCCCACTGCAAAGGATACTGAGGTTTCCTCTGTGGGAAGATTGAGGAGACCTGAACTGTCCTTATTCTGGTTCCCTTGCCCTTGGGACTCCTGAAAGAAAGCTTGAAGTGTTTGAGCCTAAGGTGTTGGCCATGGTTATAAGCAACATTATGGTAAACACCAGTATAAACTCCAGACAAAACTACCAGGTGTCAGGTCTGAATGTTTTTCATCTGGAAGAGCTATCAAGAGGGTCCAGGTCCTGGCCACCATAAGGGTTTTACTTCTCAGGTTCATGTTGAGGATGTGTATATGTGAGCCCCAAATACTCAGGTGTACAGCATGAACGAACACACACAACACAACGTGTGTTCAGGGGGTCCTAGGCCCAGAGTTTAATCAGCACCCCATACCCACTCACAAACTGAAGGTTTGAATGAGTGATGGAGGGAAAGGGAGGGCTGGGTGCCCCTTTGGTCCCCCTCTCAACAAGCCGCCTAGGCCTAACTCTGTTTTTATTATAAAATGAACTGATTTGACCCCATTTTTCCCTGCCTTTTCTCAGGTACACAAACTACCGCTCTGAAAATTAAATAAATGACAGAATTCCCTAAACGAAATCCTTATGAATACAGACATTAAAGTTAATTTTTTATGAACTGGTTAATTTTAAATAAATAGTTTTAAAAACATTTAAAATGTATTAAGCCCAGCCTTTTTCTAGGCTTTGGCTTCAGCCTCACCTCATATTAGGGAAAGTTTCTTTAAGTCGTACAGTAAGAGCCAATAGCTGAGAGCGAGAAAGGAAGTATAATAAAGTCCTGCGCAGCCCTGAGGCAATGTTTGATTTTACTACAATTTAAAACTCGCTATTATTAAAGTATGGTTCTTGTTGACTTTTTTATACAAAGATAGTCATTTTCAGGTTAAAGAAACTGCAATTACCCCCAATTAAAACAAAATAAAAGATCAAATGAAAGTAATTGAGACTGTATTAAAGAAATTTTAATAACCAATTACTGCTTATAAATATGGATAATCTCAAGGAAAAGAGCCGTTCTATGCCTGAAATAAAAATAAACTATCTCTTAAATATATTTAGCATACATCATTAGTTATTTAAATTTCTTCTCAAAGTAAACCTACTGTCAAAATTATATTTGGAACAGTAATAACTTCATCCTGATAAAAGAAGCCATTGGATACATGTAATTAAAGAAGAGATGCTATAAAATAATTTTAGTACAGATTATTATCTGAAAGAGATTAGCATACATTCATCATATAAATTAAAATTTGCTAGTGACTAATTACAACATTTTATGTGACTTCTCATGGATGCTAATACTTTATGAATTCAGCTTGTTTTACAATTATTACATCAGTTGAAATTTTGGTATTACCTTGACTAATTTAGAGTTATTTGGAGGTTAATATAAAGAAACTCCCCAAAAGAAGTAGTTGAGATGAGACTTCTGCTGCTAAGTTGATTAGTGTTTTCAGTGATACTTTTTCTCTACTAGCTACAAGAACAGTGTCAATAAACTCAAGTTGCATGACCCCCCCCTTAGCAATTTTACAGTCTCACCTGGATTTGCTATTTGTAAATTATGTCTTTCATCTTCCGTGCTATTCTCTCAAGTCATCATATCAGTTTGCTAGCACTGTAATGCTTTAAAAGCACTCGCTGCCAGGGGCCCCTGGCATCCTACAAGGGCGTACCCTGCAGTTTTCACTCCTGCCTCTCTGTAGACACTACCTGGTAAGCACCTCCTGGCATGTCGAGGCCTATTCTGCGTGCTGCAGATGCTATATGCTGAGTATGTCCTGCATGCTGTGAACACTCGGACAGGAGCATGCTGTCATCTCACGGCTGGGACCTGTTCTGGGGAGAGCAGTGATTAATGATGGAAATATCAACAAGTAATGAAAAGCACTAGTTGGAGATAAGTCTCTGCTGAAAATTAAAATAGGAGAGGACAGCAAGGGTCTAGGAAGGGGGTTTAGACTGATCCAGGAAAGCCTCCCCAAGCTTAAAACAGTTAAGGTGACACGTGAATGGCACAAAGGATTAGCCCTGTTAAGGTCTGAGGAAGGGTGTTTCAGAATGAGTCAGCAACACATCCCAGAGATCTGAGGTACAAACAAGCTACGAGTTCAAGAGGAGAGATAAGGCCATTCTGAGGAGGGCCCGAGGACTAGAGCTATACTAATGTGTGTACCAGGAGTCGGGAAGGCTTTGTCCTCTGGTCCATCCCTGCCGCAGCAGTCCTGGCAAATGATAGCTCTGTGGTGTGTGTGGAGGGGGTGAATGAATGAACAAGGGGATCTGCTTCCAAGTGGATCAGTTAAAAGACGTAGGTGTGTCCAGCCTGTGTCCCACAGTAACAGTGAATGTAACACCCCACAAAATCATAACTTACTTGGGCCAGGGAGATGACTCAGCATGTAAAGGTGCTTGCCGCCAAGACTGAGAACCTGAGTTTGTTCCCTGGAACCAACATAACGGAAGAGGAGAACAGACTCCTGCAAGCTCTGTCTTTGACCTTCAAATGTTCACCATGGCACACACTCATACATCCATGTACATGTACACAATAAATAAATGAATGAATAACTGTAAAAAATTAAACATTACTCATCTAAAACGTTATGGGTTTGTGATTTTTAACTTATTTATCGATTTATTTTATGTGTTTTGAGTGTTTTGTTTTGCATAGTACATATGTGTTGTGCAGTGCCTGTGGAGGCCAGAAGAGGGTGTTGGATCCCCTGGAAGTGGTGTTAAAGGTAGCTGTGCTGGGAACCTAACCCAGGTCCTCTGTAAGAGCAGCCAGTGCTCTAACTGCTGTTCCATCTCTCCAGGTCCCTGTGATTTTTTTTTTTTTTTTTTTTTGTCAATTTCAGAGCTCTTGAGTGTGAATTTTGTATATGATAACTGTGATATGTTGTCAAAAGGTTGAATATACCTGATAGGGGAAAACTACCATAAGAATATTAAGTAAATTTATGTCAGACTAAAAAATACCTCCCCACAGATATCCATATCCTGATTCCCAGGACCTGTGAATGCTCCCTCACATGGTATAACTTTATCAGGGGTCATTGTAGTTTTGACTCAATTAGGGCTTAGTGTATTCATGAAAGTTCTTATGAGAGGGAGGCAGAGAAGAGCTTCTGAACACTGGGGACAGAATATGAGACTTCAAGGCAAGAGATACAGCGTCTGCAAGCTTGGTAAAAGAAGAGGACGCATTTCATCTGAGCCTGCAGGAGTGAGCCCTGTCAGCTTATGTGAGACTCCAGAGTGCTAATACTGTATGAAAACCCATGTGTGTGTGTGCGTGTGTGTGTGTGTGTGTGTGTGTATGTATGTGTGTGTGTGTGTGTGTATGCCCATGTCAGTGGTTTGAGTGTTTGTGTGTGTATATGTATGTCTGACCAGTGAGTTCCAGGGACCCAATTTCCTTCAAGTTCTGGGGCTACAGGTTCACAGCATTATGCCTACCTTCTTTTTTTATGTGGGCACTGGGGATTCAAACTCAGGTCCTCACACTTATGCAAAAAGCACTTACACAGCCATCTCCCTAGACCCCACAATCTGTGTTCTTTAAGCTATTACCTGGTAATTTGTTAAATCACTAATAGGAGACTAAGGCAAGATCATCCCAAACTACAGAAAGCATTTGGCCTTTTAATAAGTTATAGTAAGGAGAATGATGCCTTTAAACAAAAAAACTAAATATTGGCCCCAGTCACTGAGCCACCGCCAGGACTCAGCTGCCTCCCCATTCCCGATGCTCCATGCTCCCCCACCTAGGCTGTTTCCACCTAGGAAAGGAATCGTATGGTATGTCCGCTATCCAGAACCTCCACTCTTTCGACCCCTTTGCTGATGCAAGTAAGGGTGACGACCTGCTTCCTGCTGGCACTGAGGATTATATCCATATAAGAATTCAACAGAGAAATGGCAGAAAGACCCTTACTACTGTCCAAGGGATCACTGATGATTACAATAAAAAGAAATTAGTGAAGGTGCTTAAGGAAAAATTTGCCTGCAGTGGTACTGTCATTACCATCTCTGAATAAATGAGAAATGGGGTGGCTTAAGATATGGCCAGAAATTCTTTGAGAGTCCTTTTAGCCAAATTGAGCATCCTGAATGTGGAGAAGTAATTCAGCTACAGGGTGACAAGTGCAAGGCCATATGCCAGTTCCTGATAGAGCTGGACTGGCTACAGACAATCAGCTGAAGGTTCGTGGGTTTTAAGTGCTGTGGCTCTCTGAAGCTGAAGTGAGGATTTCCTTGCAATGAGTAGAATTTCCCTTCTGTCCCTTGTCACAAGTTTAGAAACCTCGCAGCTGGTATATGTAACCATTTGGGGTTCGCTTTTAACTTGGACTAGTGTAACTCCTTCATGCAATAAAATGAAAAGAGCCATTAAAAAAATACCTAAATATTTGTCATTAAAATAAGAGACAATTTAAGTTTGGCTAAAAACTTGAGCTGGTTCTCCTTTCCTGTATCTTTAGTGCTCTCACAATGGAATTTGGGATGAGGAGAAAGAACTGCATCTGGATAAAGACTAACCAGGGAAGGTGTAGAAACGTTAGCTGGAGGTGAGCCCAGGACAAAGGCAAGGGACTAGATAGGGACAGAGGGCCAGTGGGAGATTGGGAGAAAAGATGCTAGCTATGGCTATACAGCAACTGAACGTTCAGAAATTAAAAACTAGAAACAGCAAACACTTAGCTCACACCACATCTGGGGTCAGAATCCAGGGCAGTCAAGTTGGGTCATTCTGGCTCTGGTCTTCTGCAAGGCTGAAGTTGTCCAAAGGCTTGAGTGGAGCTAGAGGACTCTAAAAATGGTTCCTTCATGTGACTGTTCACTGAAGGCTTCCATCACTATAGTGTCCTGTCCACTGGGCTGCTCCAAAGGTCTCATGGCATGACAGCTGGCTGCTTTGCCAGCAAGCGACCCCAAAGGGCAAATCTGGAAGAAACCACAGTACCGTGCTTTATGTCCTGGTATGAAGTGAGTCTCAGATGGCCACACTGTTCTGTTGGTCAGAAGAAAGCCACTGAGTCCAGTCCTCTCTCATGTGGAGGATGGAGAAGGATTTGGCTAAAGGGACTCTCAAAGAATTTCTGGCCATATCTTAAACCACCCACTTCTCATTTATTTAAAAAGGCTACTTATGTCTATATTCTTATCTCTCTCTCTCTCTCTCTCTCTCTCTCTCTCTCTCTCTCTCTCTGTCCCTCTCTCTCCCCACCCCCCCGTGTGTGTGTACGTGTGTGTGTGTATGTGTATGCAGCTGTCGTCCCAATTCTCTGCAGAAACTGCTAGTTAGACATTCAAGCTTGTCTCTGTGTGATAATCTACCCAAACTAAAAGTTCTAAGGACATCCCTCAAATGGTTGGCTGGATTCCCCACAGAAGAATTGTACCCTTTTCCATCCACTTTATCAACTTTTCATCTGGAGGTGATAGTTTGTCCTTGATAGAATCACTGTTGTTCTGGTAAGCTCAGGAAGTGCTGATGAGTCGCAGAAACATGAAGACAAGCGGAGGATTCAGAGATGTGGATCATCACTGGACCGAGACACACAGACGGAGCAGGTGTGGAAAGATGGAGTGACTGAGAACTGAGAAACAGTTCCATGCTCAAGTCTCAACGAGGTTGCACCAATTAATGAATTACCAAGAAAGAACAGGAGGACAGCAGCCCATGAAGCATGGATGGATGGCATCTTCTCAGTCTTCTCATTTCCTGTCAAACACTAGATTAGTTCTTCTGTTTTCCTTCTCTAGAAAAATGTAACTTTTTACTGTATGCTAAATATGGATCCTTATATTTACAGACAAGTATACCATATGCCACTCATCATAGAAGCCTCTTTTTTTTTTTTGCAACAGATGGAAACTATTAGTGAGTTCTACAATCAGTCACACACAGAGAATAACTGTCAGTTGCCCAGTCCTAAGTGATGCTATGTATTTTTAATCTGATTTTTAAAAACCCAAGGGTCAATTATTTTGTTATAAAATAAACATTTTGGGACACCACAAATGAATGTAGGCAAACATTTTGGCTGTCAGTGATAAAAATTCGGGAAAAGATTTCTTCAGAGGTGAATAAACAGCTTCATATCTGAGTTTTAAAAATGACATACATCTTAATATGTCTAGCATCACAAGTCAATCCAACTCAAAATATATTTCAAGTACTTACTGTGTACCAAGAAACATATGCTACACTCTATTTAGGAAAATAATGAAAATAAAAACTCATACACCAGCCGAACGTGGTGGAACACACCTTTAATCTCAAGACTTGGGAGGCAGAGGCAAGAGGATCTCTGTGAGATCAAAGCCAACCTGGTCTACATAGCAAGTTCTAGGCCAGCTGGGGCAACAGGGAGACCCTGTCTCAAAAATACTTATATATGGGGGCAGAGAGTTGGCTCAGTGGTTAAGAGCACTGGCTGCTCTTGCAGAGAACCTGGGTTCAATTCCTAGCACCCACATGGCAGCAAATAACCATCCTAACTCCAGTTCCAGAGGAATCCAACACTCTCTTCTGACCTCCAAGGGCAATAAGCACCCCGGGTGCACTTACATGCATACAGGCATACATATAAAATAAAGATAATAAAATATTTAAAATATATGCATATGTATGTGTATTGAAGACCTATTGCATACCATTAAACATTTTCAAATATTTTAAAATTTCAAATGAAAATTAAAACTAAGCATATGGAAAGTAATTGGTGCATTAAAAGGATGTTCGGTAAACTTTTTCTGTAAAGGGAAGATAGTAAATTGTTTGTGCTCTATCACAATAATCAGCTCTTCCTATGAGAACATAAACAGGCATAGGAAAATATGTGGCTGGAGAGGCATGGCTGTGTTCAAATACAAGTGTATTTGTAGAAACAGGCAAGACAGGTTTACCCTCAAGTTATCCCCTTGCATTGAAGAGTTGGCTTATATATGCCAGTGAGTTGCGTTCATTTAAATAAAATTCTCGATAAATGTCCCTTCTAAAGACAGTTGAAAGTTTGCCTCTAAAGTCATATAACTTTGTAGTCACTCATTTAATTATTAACAACCAGATTTGTAATATCAATGGCCTTGTTTTGTTGAACATGTGGAATGTAAAATACTACTTTAAAAATCAGAAAGTGTGTTCTGCTCCTTTTAACCTAATAGATTAAACACCACTTCATTTGGCTAAAAGGGATTGTATGTTCCTTAAACAAATAATTTAGAAGTAACTTTACTAAAAACAAAACTGTTTTGATCCCATTCCTGTAGCAATGACTGCAGTTTAAGTCGAAGGACAGAGGTTTTCTCTAAAACCAAGTACCAGAGTAGTCTGTGTTTATTTTTTTTCCTTTATGTCTATTATTCTGAACAGAACAGAAGATTATTTTAGAAAGCATTTTTAAATGATGAAATAACAGAAGCAATGCCTATGACCTTATCTAGAATTAGCCACAGCATTCCACATGTCCAACTTTTGCTCTGTCTGATTAATCACCATCTCACTCAGCGTCCCACTTTCTGCCCCCTCATGGCTGTGTTACTTTTCCTGGGGATAAACGAACAAACCCATATTTGCCCCACATAGGGCATTGATAACAGACCAAGGAAATGTTTCCATCCAAGTCCAGCTTTCTTACCCAGTGAGGTTTCCTGGCTTACTTACAAGAACATGAGTAAGCAGTTACTTACAGGAGCATGAATGAGCCTACGAGAAAGTCCCACCCCAGCACAGATGATGCCCTCACATGTTCTGCATCACCAGAATCCTTCACCCACTATCAACCTTCAACTTCCTATATGTAACACGTCCTAAGACCATGTGCAGCTGGGGCAAGACAGGAGGGAAGAGGTGGCATGAGTCTTAGGGGATGGTCCCATGAGCCTCCCCTGTCCTCCAACAAGGGTATGTTAATAGGGTCTCATGGAGGTAATCACAGCTGCTGTAGCCAAGACAGCAGTAGCCATGTCCATGCCTAAAGAACAGAGTTCCAGAACAGTCATCATTCAAGGAAGAATACTCTCCAGGTCCTCTGAGAGCATTGCACTCAGAATAAAGCTGCAACACTGTTGCAAGAGACAATGTTTAACTTGCTACCTGAGCCTTTAAAAGTCAACAATCTGATGCTGGTTCCTGCCCATCGGTGGCTTCTTGTGTGGAAGCTGAGTCAGACAAATGAGACACTCAGACTGAAGCCTTGGGTAAAATAAAAATCTACCAGCCCATTATGGATGTCTTCATATTTCTTTGTGAGCCAGAGTCTGGTGGGTCCTTCAGTTCAAGCAAATCACTCAACCTTGCTCCCTCTCCCTGACTTAGCAGAAACGACTGTGTTTCTTTGTTTAACTCAGATTTTCAGAGCATGTTTTTTATGGGTTCATATGGATAGTTGAAAATTAAAGGGAAACTGTAGGCTACATGCATGCCCACACTATCTTTTGGGATTTTTTTTTTTTTTGCATTTATTGAGTGTGTGTGTGTGTGTGCGTGTGTGTGCTTGCTTGCAGGTGGGAGGAATCCTATTACTGCTTGTGTGTGTGTGTGTGTATGTGTACATGCATACATCACAGTGCATGTATGGAGATCAGAAGACAACTCTCCTTCCATCAGCGTGGGCCCTGGAGCTCAAACACAGGTTGTCAGGCTTGGTAGCACATGCCCTTACCCACTGAGCCTCTCTCCAGCCCAGCCCACACTGTGTTACTTCTTCCTGTCGGTGCTAACTCCAGAAAAGGAAAACACTTGCGATGGGAAAGAATGGTGCCCACCCAACAGCTCTTTTTGTGTATCTCTTGCAGGAGTCCTTTGGAACCTCTCGTCATGTGATGCACTCAAAATGCCAATCATCCAGGATGCCCTGGCAGTGTTGACCAATGCAGTGATTATCCCCCACTCAGGATGGGAGAATTCACCTCTCCAGGATGATCGGAAAATACAATTGCATTCATCACAGGTGCTGCGCAACGCCACTGGGTGCCTGAGGTCAGTACCACCCCTGCTGAGCTCCCTGCTGGCAGGTGCTTCTTCCTGTAACCTTAACCGCTGTTTCCCCATGGATCAGACTCTTCTGCAGAGACGGATGTTGATGTGGCAAACTGAAAGCCCAACAAATGCATTGCTAGTCACTTAAGAAGTAGAAGCATTTTCCACACCTCTAGACCTATACCAGTGGTTTCCTGATTTAACATGGCATCTTA